AGCCGTTGCCTGAACTAAACTCGCAGCAGTTGAGGTGAACTGGAACTGGAACTAGAACCAGAACCAGAACCAGAACCAGAACCAAGGGAGGAAACCAGCCTAAGGAGCTTCTCCGCATTGCAAACGTGTGCGCTGGGCGAGAACCCGTCGCCCCTCACCCGGTCTCGTGACAAGCAATGAGGAGCCTGGGACTGGCGCAGGCTCCACTATTGACGTTGTAATTTGTTGATTCCAGCTGGCTGGCTGGCCAAGGCATGCTTAGAATTAGTGCCAGCCCGCCAGCCGATTAGGGCCCGTCTCTCTGGCGGATCTGGGCGATCATTCAGCACATGCCACTTGTCTGCCTTAGTAGGCTGTTACGGATAGGACTATGACGAGATACGTCTAGGAGCAACTGTTAGGACGCACCTGGGCTGATCAGGTGCAAGGGAACTTCACACGTGGGTATCAGTTAAAAGCCGCAGACCTGGAAACCCCCTTTGCGGAATGGATGGCGACAGCGAGGAGAGCGAAGGAGAGGGAGAGAGCGTTGCCAGCTGGCCACGGTAGCCCACTCTCATCTCATCTCCATCTCCACGCACAGCGGGGAGGAGTGCATGTTGTACATGTTTGAGTTACGGGCGCTGTGGCGAAGAACCTGGCCCAGCTGTCTCATTCTGAGACCTGGCGCCCGTCCAATGGCTGCACGAGGGCATGTGCCGTGCAGAACACCAGATTGGTAGCATGAATCTATCGTCATCTAATTTTGCTCAGTTCTCCTCGGCGTCTTCAGCTCGTGGCCGTCCCGGTACGGTGCAGCCGATGTCTGTCACGGAGAATATAATAGTGGGTGGTGGCTGACGACAGGAACTGCTGACGGAGATCTATGGCCACTGCATTGACGCAAGGGCTCCCAGCCGTACGCAGCAGGAGTGGCCGTACATGCTACCGGCATGCAGCATAAACACTATATCTGTATCGCGCACCACAGCCTTGAGCCTCCCTACATGCTGGATCGGCAAAGCACCTCAGCGCGTGCCGTCGACCAGTCTGGCTCTGGCACTGGCTCTCACCCTATTGCCTCTGGCTCTGGCCAATGTAGCTGAGGTGGTGTAAGGAGCAACCTTAGCGAGCCAGAGCCCCAGAAAATCCCCGAAAAGATACTGCTAGGCCTGATGCAAACTAGCCTTCTTTTCTCACGCCAAGGGCCCCACCACCATGGGGATGGACGGCCGCTTCCTTCTGCTACTACCAGCAAACGGCGTCTACTGCGTCTGAGCCAAGGCTAGCCCCTTTCGGCACCTCTGAGTGAGGAAAGCTGGAAATGGTGGCGGCAGTTTTCCGCTTAGCGACCTGAGAGACGGTACGGTGGTGCACACCAACGGGCCACGGACCCTGTGGCTGCTGCTTCAACCACCGCAGATCGACACTGCTAGCCGGGTTGCCAATCTACACATTACGACCTACCAGCTGTTCCGCCCTGGAGATCTCATCTGCCTATCTAGGTATGTAGCAATCCGGAGCACAGTCCCTCCCAGACGGCGGCCACCAGCTCCAGCTACCCGTTCCCCATTCCGCGGAGGCGCTCGCTTGTGCCTGCACGCATCGCATTGCCCAAGATGCAGGCCTGTCAGAAAAAATTTTCGGCATCACGGAAATAGCAGGCGGCGGCTAGGCAAGGCAATAAAATCCCCATCCTACATCTACCGCATAATTGCTACGGGAATACCAGCGCCAAGGGAAGGCCCTGTTTCCGCAGGAGGCGTGTCGTCTCCCCAACTTCAAGTGCGTGGAGCCCCACGCAGGCGTGCCGATAGACAAACCTGCCACATCCGGGATGATGGGATCTGGGATCGCCCAATCACAGCCCAACGACGAATGCAACTGAGTGGGCTTCAAGTGTGTAACGCGCATGAGAGCATGTTTCCTGACGTGTGGGCTGCCGCTGGGCCTGCGACCTGCGTGAGGTGCGTTGAATGTCATCAGTCGCATATCGAATCTAATCTTGACAACGGGGGCCTGGTGCCTTTTTTTCCACTATTTGGTCCAATATGCAATCCGACCCATTCCCAAACTCTTCAGTTCCCGTGATGATGCAGTGCTTCGCTGCAACTCCCCTCTGCTCGGCTGATCGCCACAGCTCGAGAACAGGGGATGCATGCCCACTAAACCTCCGATGACTCTGCATCACAGCCTTCTAATGGCTGACACGACGGTCGTTGTAATGCAATACTGGAGAGTGCATCCCAAGATGGGCTGATTTTGAGCTCATGAGCATCGCCTCCGTGAAATTATATTGTGAACAGCGCATCCGCATCGCATCGCATCGCATCAATCCATCGAGTCCGCATCTCGTTTGACTCTCGCGATGAGTTATCCCCAGCATACGCGCAGTCGCACGCCGGACCCCCATTGCTTAAAAAAGCAGTTGTACGTGCACGCTATGCGTCCAGTGTGGGGGTTAGTGCTGAACGCCGGGGCCAGAGCGAAGACACCCCTGGGTCTAGGAGACGAGGACATCTCTCACAACAGGCACAAAACTTGGCCATGCTGCCCCCTTCCCCCCCGGGAGGAGAGGCTTGTGCTCTGTATGCAGGCACGTTTCCTCCTCGCGGGTACCAACAGAAATGGGCGACGCTGGTGCACAAGTCAATTAGCTTGCCGTTATGAGCAGTACTGACCTAGGTACCTAGTTTTTCGACCTGCCCTGTTGTGGGAAAGGAAACCCACGCATCCGTGTCAACACTAGCAGCGGCTTGTCCAGCCATCCATCTGGCCCTCTAGGGTCGCCTCTGTGCCTCTGCGCCTGCTGTCACGCGCAGCCAGGGCCAAAGGGTGGCCCGGACGACCAAGTTGTGCTCTTGGCCCATATATTACCCCATCCCAAGGACATGAACGCAATCTCACGTGAAGCAATGAAGCAGCAGTTGGCTCGATCACGGCGAACCAGATCAGACAGCGGCAGATGTCGTGGCATGCTCGGACTTGTCCCTCTCAGCGTCCTTCCCACGCTGTAGGTATTGTGACGAGACGAGACGTCAATTAGTGAACGCAGCATACATCCTTCCTTATTCTGAATCACCGGGGTGACACATACTTGGGGAACGGATGTAACCCCCCTGAGATCTATCGCTTACCCAAAGCCGTGTCAATTCCCAAATCAAAGCTTGCACAATGACTGGTCACAAAAACATTGTTTTTTTTATTCCAGGCGTATCGCGCGCCCAACCTTTATTCCAAATCCTCTCACACTGACCTGTTGGGGAGCATTTGGGAGGGGTTCTGGTCCTGGCCAGAATGCTGTAACTCTTCTCTCTTCTCTCTATTGGGGGTTGCTGACAGTTATGCCGTGCAGGGGATGAAAAGAGATTACTTTGATGTAATGGCATGGGCAACCCTCGCCCCTCCATCCCCTTGATATTGTGAGATGTGATAGGTCCAAGGCCGATAATCTTCGGGCCCTCACTCTCGGGACAGAATAGTTTGAAGAGAACCAGTGGCCAGCGAGTTGAAAGGGGGGGACGAAGCAACACTAAACCAACAACCCCTTGAGATGTGGCGTTTCTCAGCCTCCACCACCACACCAGCCAGACATGTTTAGATCATTATTTGGGATGGTCTATTACAGACTCTCGCACCCATGCTCAAAATCCAGCCGGGATCTGGGATTTAACCAGTTGTTTTCTCAACACGAGAGCTTCACTATCTACAACCCCATCCATCTTGGGTTACTCTCGGGCCCGTGGGCTATGATCTCCCGGATCGAGAACCGCTCATTATCACCGATCACCACTGCCCATGCCGCACTCCGTTCCCGTTGTGGAATCCTTCCCCCGAAAGTTTAATCCTTTGCGACATTGTGATGCGACGCATCGTAACCCACCAAACGGACCGTGCTACATAGTGCGTAGAACGGGCAAGGCGTTTACTAGGTATAACCCCGGTTGTACATTGGGTTGCTGTATCCTTGGCCGCCTGCACAACTCCTCAGCTCTTATGAGCACAACTACCTATTCCACATCGGCAGGTGTCGAAAAATCAATTGCTACTCTAGCTTTCGTACGTAACACTCACTCCTAGCCATTGGCCACTCGGCCAATTAAGGGACCTGCAGGCAATGCCTCCACTTCGGTTGTGTTCAGCTATTGAGCGGCATCTTTGCTACCCGGTCGCTCTCACACGCTGTTTTGAGCTTCTATAGGCTGAAGAGGGAGAGTCACTGGCTCAAACATGGCCCCTCATGCATGTGTCTGTCTCTCCCCAGGCTCAACTACCGTCCATGGGCCACGCTGCTCCTCTTCCGCCTCCTCCCCTCGTCCCTACCAATTGGCCAACTTGTGGAGAGACCCAGTGGTTGATGATACACTGGCGTATTTCCTCCTCAAACGGGACCCGATGGCTCGGTAAGGTGAGTATCCCTGTTCAGAGGCCGCAATCTCTCATTCCTCCACACTATTCTTTCATGAGATCTAGCCTACGATTCTCTACACAATTCGTCATCCCAGCTTGAGATTCCAAGAAAGATGATGCATGGATCTCATTCTCGCCTCCTCCGCTCCAACCCAGCAGACGATCTACGCGGCATTGTCTCATTCCCCGCCAATCAATGAATAGCCCTGCCCCGGCCATGCAGCCTCACTCGCAACATGGTCGTAAAAAGGAGATAGCGAGTGTCAGGGTGCTGTGGGGAAGCAGACACCAATGTCTGCCACAGCTTGGCAGCGCATGTGAGATATGACAGGATCTCATTCATGTTTCTGTCTTGAGTCACCCTCTTTCTCGCCCCGAAAGGTACATACTCCCATGACTGCAACGACATAGCACACCACCAGCTACAGAACTGAGCCAGCCACAACCCTGCCCGGGACTTGACCCGGCTCCGTGGGTTGCTTACTGCCTGCCGCTCGCTCGGAGGATTTCCATTGGGCCTCAATTCATCCCAACCAACAGGCCTGTCCCATATCACAGCGCTACCGCAGCAGCTCGCATGCCAAGCCGAAAGCGAATCTGTAGATTTCATGATGAACCTTTTCGGCAAACTGCATCCACCAGCGGGGTCTGGCTTTATCCCCCCTCCCCTCGGATCTGAAAAGAAGCAAAAATACGAAGATGAAATGCGAATCTATGTAGGTATGCCCACAAACAGCTACTTGTTGATAAGTCAACTCTATCCCGGCATAGGGTCGACGAATGCCGGGGGCTGCCCCTCGCTTAGAAGGAGAGTCAGGTGGCGGTGGAGAGGGGGAGATGATGGCGTTGTTCCCCCATGACGATAGCCTCACGGGAACCCTGCGTGCCGAATTGCACGAATAGACACCATCTCCGTCCTCCTGGCTTTGAAAGGGTGTCGTGGGACAATGCTGCGGTGGTGGTGTTGGTGGTATTGTTGTTGTCTTTGTTGGTGGCCGGCGCAAAGACACGGCGGCGCTCAGGCCTCGTCTGTAATGAGATGGGAAAGATTCTAATAAAAGACGTGTATTGTCTCGGAAAGGGCCCATCCCTCACAATGCTACGTGACAATTTACCAGAGCCCGTATTTTCTGTAAGAAAGAAAGTTCCATGTTTTATCGTTGCGTGGGCGTCACTCAATCTCTTCTCCCCCAGGGGGCGGGATCTGGGCTCTTACTGGGGCCGCCGGCGATCCATCTAGGACGGATCACATTATCAGATGGGATGGATGCAAACTGCATGCTCAAAGGAGAGGGGCGCGCCCGGGACTTTGGGTTGGGTGGCTCACCTGCGTTCATCGAAAACAGGCTCGCCATGCACAACCGGCCAACAACACATTCGCCTTAGTTCCGACCAAGCGAGGAGAGGCAACATGCTTCACAGCCCCCGACCGGCAATGCGGAAACAGGGCCAGGCTGCCCGCGGTGGTGTGAGGGGCCCAGAGATTACTGGTAGATCGGATGCGCATGGCTGGCGATCACTATAATCCAAGGCATCTGGTCGGGCTTGCTGAATCGGCCTAGGTGAGGCCCTATCACCCAGACCCCCAAGATGTGAAATCTCGGCACTCCTGGGCCATCATCCAAGAGGTCACCAGAGACAGCCCGCGCGACGAATGGGAGAGACGAGCGCCGGGGGGTGTGGTCTGGGTTTGAAGGCTGAGATAACAAGGCTAGCGAGCGACGCTAAGCAAATCAATCAACCATCACCAACTCGCCCATCACACTTTCTGGATCACACGCCCCCGGGCCAGGCGGCCAAAGCGCCAGAAACCCAAAGGGCAGATGGCAGGTTTCCCAGCAGTAGAGCACATTTCCCGATGCTAGCTGGGCGCTACTGTAGGGGTTTACGGCCTGTACCTTACTGGATCTGAGAACATCGACATGTCTTGGGCCTACTGCATGCGCGCTCTTTGGCTTGGAAAGTTCTCCCAGCCTCAGGGGAGCGTGCGTGGTTCGTCAGGCACATGCACGTAAGAGCGAAAGCAGTAGAGCCCGTGCTCTCTCCTCCTCCCCCTCTCGCAGCGGAAGCCGGGCCCCAGTCGCGAGGCCCAGGGGAATGGGAATGGTGAGCTGCTAGTGCTAGTCCCCAAGGCAAGGGGCCACGGCAGATCCCATCCCATCTCATCCCATCGTGTGCGTGCCCTTGGCGCTCTAGCCTTGGCCATGGGCCATTTTGATTAGATTGAGACCGTGCACCCACCGGCGCGCGGGTCATAGGCCGCCGCCATTGACTTTCCCAGCTCAACCGAGGACGGACGGACGGGGCAAAAGACGGCGGATATTGTGAGAAAGCGTCCCGTCCCGCCTGGGTTCCGGCCTCGACGGGAGAGCTGGTGGGCAAATACTGGTGCCAATTGCTACTGGATACCTACCAGAGTTTATCGTGGCCCTTTGGCCTGGCAAGGATCGTGGACCGCGGAGAACGGGAGCTAGTTGGAGCGCAAAAGTTAGCCAGCACTATGTCGGGAGCTATTTGCGAAATTGTTGGCTACAAGTTTGGTGATGCTTTCATTTTCCGGTTTGGTACGCATACGAGAACCTCGATTGATCAATCGTTCAGAGCAATTCATTTATTCTCTCACCCACCTCGACCCTCGTCCAGTTGTGAGGCTCTCCACACACCCTTTTCTCTTCTCGCAAGCCAGCTCCTACACAGGCGCAATGCAGGAATGCGGAGGCTTGTTATCCTGGCTGTCATTGAGACAACTAATGTAGCCCTATGTACACCTCCAACGGCCATGGATCTTTCTCTCCGACGGTTTTTTTCCTACCGCCAAGTATTACCCTATACCGCAACTTTCCATAGCCATTGCCTGCAGAATTGATTGATATCCACTACATCGATGATCTCATGAATTAGATCGTCGCTGGGCTCCTCATATTTCGATGGTCATATATTCTCTGTGGGGAATATTGAAGAAAAATTTACCCAACCCATTGAGATCGTGATCTACATTCTTGACTGGTATCATTTTGCTTCTTTTCCTGACTGAATACTGAGATGTACTACCCCACCACTTGTATCTACCCTTTTTTTTCCTTTTCTCCGACCGACATAGGTTCACACACGCGCATCATGGTACAGCCCAGGTACCAAACCATCGTCCCAACGCATTGATCATTCAATGCACCATTCGTGTAACACAAAGCAAAAGAGACAACATCATTGTTACACCAGATCCCCCCCCCCCAACCAATCGAGGACGATCGCGGTGAAAGCTGAGACAGACAGTTTGTATATGTTATGTACACGCTCAACGTGGAAGCACATGCATATGGCTGCGTGTCAGAAATGACGTTTTCCCCAAAAGGTCCAGACCGCATCGGATGCGATATCTCCCATGCAACGCTGCAACTCCCCATGCATCTACTTCTTGACCGACTTCAAGATGTGTGGGATTTGCACAGCTGAGTCGTGTGCATGTCCTGTCAGCGGAGGGCGCAGACCGTGATGTCCCAGCACCTGGTGTAGGTTAGTAGAGGAGAAATCACGAGTTCTGCAGGGTCAACAGACTTGTTCTCCCTTCCGTTTGCAAGTAGTGGTATTAATGTAGGTCGTACTTTCCCTCTATACTAGTGTAGGGCTGTGGTGGGCGCGGTTCACTGCCGAACCGCTCCTTCCAGAGCCACAACGGACGAAATAAACAAGTGCAATTACCAATGAACATGTGTGTGGACTACAAGCCCACCAGATGCGAAGATCAAACCCACACCGCACTTGTTGCCCTGCAGCATAATTCTGCACCTCGCAAGATAGACGAGAAGCCCAACAAATGCCTGCCTCCCTACAGATCGAGTTGATCAAGCCCGCCGCAGGTACCCTCCCTCGTCGACGAGGCGCTGTGCCATATCCAGAAGCGGTTTCTCCAGCATTGGCTCCATGCCGGCCAAGGCGTTTCCTCGACGAGACATATCATGTTGCCTCACACATGCAGCCAGCAGGGCAAGGGCAGACTTATCTTTCCACACTCTGGCTTCATGGGAGGTGCGCTTAAGGCCTAAACCATGCAATTGCATGCTGAATCGGCTTAGGTACATGGTCACAACCCTGACTACGTGTTGTCGCGTTGCGAAGAAGTTGTCTCTTCACCACGGCGATGTCCTTCCTTTTCCGAGGAGATGACTGTACGACAGCACCCCATGGCGATAGTCTGTACCAGGACCGAAAGCACAGTTCCCAGCATCATGTACGGACTCAGGATACTACGTTACCTCCCTGATCTGTCTTGTCCCCTGCCTTCGCGCCCAAACTGAGCTCAACAGTGCGGGAGGCTTGCGTCTGATATTCCGTTTTGAGAGAGTGTTCCCCTTACGTCGTCGCACCGTGCCTGTTTTCTCATCGGCAAGCCCCGCTGCTTCAAGTGTCCCGATTTCCAGACTTCGCTTTGGCCCTCGCAATCGGTGTCAATACATCTGAATCTAGCCACCACTAGACCCTGGGGCTGGGTGTGGCCACACCATCAGATACCTGGCTGAGCAACCTTGATGGGGTAAGGGTTGTCTATCCGTTCGTCACACTTCTATCTTGCCTGCCGACCAATAAACTCCTCCAGGTTTCACAATTTCTGCCAAGTGCTCTTCGTCTGGGTGTCCAGACTGATCATTCCGCAAAACAAGCTCCAGGACTCCCCCCCCCCCTTCGCCCCTGGCACCCAGACCTGGCTCAAAGTATTATACTTTTAAAAGATTTTCACTCATGTATCTTTCCCTCCCCTGGATGGGGGCGTGAAGACGGGAAAATCTGATCCTGGTTCTCGGTGGGGCTTGAGCCTGTGATGTTATATTTTCTTCTGCCAGTAAGACTTACACCTCCGCTTTTATATTTTTCTTTTGCTTGCACGGAGAGATCTCAATTCAAACATGTTGGACAAGGCTCATGCCGGGACGAAGTGCAAATCTGGGCGATCTTTCCTCCCCCCCTCTTTCTCTCCGCATTGAGCCTTGCGCCCCCCCAGGACCAACCGGCGTTATACGGCCCTTTCGACGAGTCATCCCCTGAGTAGCATTGTGCTACTCACCAACGACCAACAAGAGCTCTCCGGATCATATCCCAGATCGCACCCATGGCGGCTGGATGCTACCCCCCAATACCGGACGCGCACAACACTTCTACAGCCCTGTTCTACCAGGTAGGCGGAAGGGGTTCTTGCGTCAGGCGGAGACGGCCGTCTCTGGGATGCTGGGGTAGCATTGTCATCAATGTGAGGCTATGCTTCGGGGAACGAGCATTGAGTTTTTCCTCCCCCTTCCCTGGCCCCATGCTGTTTACCTGCCTCATTCCAGAAGCGGCGCAGCTGACCGGTCTGAACAGCGAATTCCACCCTACAAATCGCTAGACCGACGCATACCGGGATAGATTGACCCAGGCAAAGAGCCGGGTAAGAGGGAATAGAGGGTCGGGATTCTCGCTGAGCTGCCGGGGGTTCTCGTCCTCTGTGCAGACGTTCCCTCTCTTACCTTCAGCCTTGCCTCGCCCTGCATTGGCATCCCTTGCCTCGCCTCGTATCGTCATATGGGATTGCCGTGAGATTGGCGTCTTGATCGTCCTGCTTGCATGTCCCGAGGCGCGCCGACGCCATGTTGACACTCCCGAACCATATTACGAGACTGGTCCCGTTAAAAACCAAGATACCTGGCTCCCGGCTTTGCTCGGGGTTGCAGTACGGTGGAGTTTGAGATTGAGGTCCGCCAGACCCGTCACAAACCCTTGCCATGCTTGCCGGCCAAGTCCTGCATGATATGCTCGCCGCTATGGAATTTGCCTACAGTCGCTCCACTCAGAGAGGGCGTAGGGTGAATGAGTAAAAAAATTTCAAAGCTGCCCAAAATGCAACGTTATGCGGCGGTGCTCGAAAGCTTGCCCAGCGATTGACAAATGGAAAATAGTAAGTGGAACGAAGTACTGGCAATGCAGGTCAGGACTGATTTGGAGATATGCCAGGGTCGAATGTCATGAGCGACAGCCTCACCTTGAGGTTTCTCGCACGCGCACTGCACCCCCGTCGTTGGGCGATTGATGACCGAACCCCCCCGACTGGGCACTAGGGCACCGCCGGGATGGATACAGATCCTTCGAATCGGATATCACGACGGAGTGTGGTCCTTGGTAAGCTTGAGCCGATCTTGTCGGCGGGGTCCGGAGCGGTTGCATCGCTCAGTGGACCAAGGACCAGGAACAAGATCAAAAGTAGGGACGAACCTCGTGTGTCTGTTCCCACGGGCAAGCCACGATGGCTTCCCCAGGAGCAAGCCGCTGCAAATGGCTTCCCGGTATGTTCCTTGCTGCCCCTTCTGAGCCATCTTTGGGAACAGGCGGCTGAAATCGCAATTTGCAATGTCACTATTTTCAGCCCTTCATCCAGGCACCCATGCAACTCCTTATTTGTGACATGTCAGAACAAGAGGCATTGTCACCCCCATGGCCATGGGGGCATGTTGTACATAGTACGGTAGGTATGAAGCATTGCAACCCCACGCACTCTTAGCTTCTGGGCTCCGGTATGCGCCAGGTTTGATTTTCGAAGCGCCACCCTTGCAACAATGAATGAACAATGCCTGATCTGACCGATCAGGCCGCGAGAAAACAGGGCCAACAGAAGATGGACGGGCTCAACAGAGCAGTATGGAAACACGGTATTCTTCTTTGGGCGTAAGTTGGCCGAAATCCCCTTGGGGAAATAATAGGCGCGAAAGCAACCCTAGTCGTTTTGGGCAGAGGGTCCAGGCTTGCGTGCGTAACCCGGCAAATTCCTGTCTGTTGGTCCAGCCCTGGCAGGAAGCCTTGCGATTTCGGTAGCCTCGTATTTGTGTGTCGTTGATGGGAAAGAGGGAGGGGTATCACACGGGAAGAGAGGAGAACGATCAACTCTGGGGCACGCAAGTAGGTTGTATGGACAAGCAGAGATATATTCAAAGTGATTCAAATATTAGTCTATATGCTAGTATAAACGCGAGTCTTGTTCTTTAAGTCCAACGCTCCGAGAAAACGTCCCGAGAGGTAAAAGAGCTAGAGTGTGTTTCAAGCCAGCCACTGAGGCAGGTAGAACTTGACATTTTCGTACACCAAGAAGGTCACCCAGGTTGCCGGCATCACCCTGATGACGCCCGGGACGAGGCCCCGATAGAAGCCTCTGACGCCCTCCTCCCTCCACGTCTTGCGGACGACGCCGCGGAATCCCTGGCCGAAGCGCTCCTCGGACTGGTAGTTCTGCAGGCGGCTGCGCAGGACCTGGTACGGGTAGGTGACGGCGCCGGCGACGAGCTTTGCGCCGCCCGAGATCAGCATGGTGGCCTCGGTGCGGATGGGCGCGTCGGGGTCGTCGCGCGACGCGACGTACATGCGCTTGGCGGGCTCGTAGACGGCGAACTGGACGGCGCCGTGGGAGACGCCGATGAGCGAGACGCCCAGTCCCCGGTAGAAGCCGCGGACGCCCTCGGACCTGAGGATGGCGCGGAATCCGGCCGCCGTGGAGGGGTAGGCCCCCTCGGCACCTTTATCGCTCGAGAGCATGCGCGTCTTGATGACCCAGATGGGGTTGGTGAGGACCGTGGTGACGGCGCCCGCGACGGCGGGGGAGATGAGGTAGTCGGTCGCCGTGGGCCGGTCGCGCCCCCTCCAGAACTTGAGGGCGCGCTCGACGCGGGCCTTGAAGAAGAAGAAGCTGGCCCAGGAGGACGCGTTGCCGATGAGGTTGGGCGTGAGGCCGCGGTACAGCGCCGCGAGGGGGTTGTGGTGGTTCGTCATCGAGCGGACGAGACCCCACATGGATGGGCGCTCGGCGGGCGGGACATTGCGTTGTTGGACTGGAGAAGGAGAGATTCGTTAGCTATATGGCTCACAGAATCTCCTGCTTTCGCTTCTAAACTCGACAACCTGCCTTGCGGCTGGCGTTGCGCGGACGGACGTACGTTGCATGCGGGTCTTTACGATGTCGAGCGGGTGGACGACCAAGGTCGAGACGGCGCCGGCCGAGAGGCCGGCGATGGACTCGACGGCCGCGGGAGAGATTCCCGCATTGTTGTTTTGGACCATCAGCGCCTGCTGGATGGATGTCGAGCCCTTATTTACATCCTCGAGGTCGCAATGGCAGAAAAGGGGACAATGACGCTGGTGGTGATGTTTGGTTCAAAGCGGGAAAAAAAATTTATGGGCCCGATGAGCGGGCGCAAATCCCGAAGCTTTAGAAACCAAAGTGCATTAATTCGGCACATGCATATATACATCTCTCGAATAACATTTTCACGACTTTAGAAGCATTGGGAATTATGGAATCGTAACTTTTTTTGTTTAGTTCGGAATAGTATGATGTGTGTGTATATAATCGTACAAGCTGCCGTCCAGCAGGGCGGTGGTTATTACAAGGTCTGAGTTTTGTGGCCTGTCTGCAGCCAAGTGCAGTATTCCCCCAGCGCCAGACACGCTCATGATTCTTCTGTTACGCCATTCCATATCCCATCTAAAATCTCTAGGGCCCAAAATACCGCGTAGTCTTCGTTGTCGTTAAACTTTGTTTAGGAGAGAGGAGAGAGAAGGCTGTTATTGGTGTTAGCTTGAGCCGAAAGATAGTCCTGGGAGGACACATACCGGATGACAGATGGGCGAGGGTTGCTGCGGGTGTAGCCTGTGAGGTCGTTAGTTTTTGGTATCCTTGATGAGTGAGTTGAAGAGGTTGCTTCGTATGTTTCGAGCGCACCGAGGTAGAGGATCAAGGGAAGGTAGCCACTGAGCGTTGTTAGTAGGATGGACAGCATGAGGAGAGAGGATGGACGGGACGTCTTACTAGTGAATGGCGACACGGGAGATGTCAATGAGCTTGACAATGCGCTCCTGTGGCTCAGATATCAGTGTCATGTTCGGATGGTTTGTGTGGTCTTATGGGTCGGGCTATCGAACCTTGGACTCTTCGGAGAGGGCAAACATGCTGGGCAGATGACGACGTGGGGTGCAGAGATCGTATGGTCCTGGTCTCCGAAAGGCCAAATTATGAAAATTAAGGCAAGCTGGTTCCGCCGACGGAGGGATAGAGCGTCTGAGGAATCTGGGATCGATCTGAGGTTGATCTGAGGTCAACGTCACAAAATTTCGAGCTTGGGCCCAACGGATCTTCCCCGGCAAAACTCGTCTACGCGCTAAACCCCCAAAATTCCCCAGGCTCAACTTCACTTCACCTTGAACTTGGGTGTAAACAACAACAGAAACAACATCAACGGGGGTGACGGGGAAGAATTTTCTTGATCAATCACTTCAGAACATAGATTCCGCTTCTATTTTCACACCTTTCGACTTCCCACGCAGGGCTAGGAGTACTCTTGCCTACATTCATCATGGCGCAAAACCGCCACTGGTATGCAATTCCTTCCGGGACCTGGATTCCTACAGCAGCATATCTCGAGATTGGAATCCTTGGCTGACTTTTTTTTTTTTTTTTTTACAGGGAGCAAGACAAAGATGCTACCGTCTACATCGGAAACATCGACGAGCGGGCCACCCCCGCCATGATTTACGAGATCATGGTCCAAATGGGCCCTATCCAGAATGTCCATATGCCCCGCGATCGAGTCACCCAGTCGCATCAGGGTTTTGGCTTTGTCGAATTCCGATCTGCTGAAGATGCCGACTACGCCGCCAAATGCATCAACGGAGTCAAGCTCTACAGCAAGAATCTCCGTGTCAACAAGGCCTCCGCCGACAAGCAAAAGGCGAACGAGGTCGGCGCCAACCTGTTCGTTGGTAACTTGGACCCCATGGTCGACGAGAAGATTCTCTACGACACTTTCAGCAACTTCGGACGTATTGCCAATTTGCCCAAGGTTGCTCGCGACGACAATGGTGCGAGCAAGGGCTACGCCTTTCTCAGTTTCGGTGAATTCGAAAGCGCCGATGAAGCTATCCAGAACCTTCACGGCCAGTATATCCTCTCGAAGGAGGTCTCTGTTCAGTACGCCTTCAAGAAGGACGGAAAAGGTGAGCGGCACGGTGATAAAGCTGAGCGTGAACTTGCCTCTCAGGCAAAGGGCCGTGGTATCGTTCCCGAGACCCAGCCCGTTCCTCCCGCATTTCTCTCTACACCCGCCCCAAACACCCAGGCTCCTCCTCCCCATCCTGCCGGCTTTGACCCTTCGTCAATGGCCCCCGGTGCTGTGCCTATTCCTGCACCTTCCCACGCACCCGCCGCTGGATTTGCCCCCCAAGCTGCTGCCCGTGGGCCTCCTCCCTATGGCCATCCCGTCCCACTGCCAACCGGCCTCGGTCGTGGATCAGCTCCCCTCCCCCCAGCCCCTTCAGGACTTCCCGCTCGACCCCCCCAGGGCCAGCCCGGCGGCTTTAACAACCCGGCCGACTTTCATCCTGGACATGGCGGCTTCAGACCGCCCACCGGCTCCCCAGTCCCTCAGGGCTTTCCCGTTGCTCCTCCCCCTGGCTTCCCTGGCACTCCTCCTCCTGGAGCAGCTGGTGTTCCAGGCGTATCACCTGGTGCGCCTCCAGGCTTTTCACCTCCCCCAGGGTTTCAAGCACCTCCTCCCGGTTTCCCTCGAAAGTAATCAAAACGAAGGAAAGTACACGTTATTCACCTGACTAGCTTGCGAGAATTGGATCGACACGTATGTCGCGCTTGAAGAAGCATCGACTCAGGGAGAACCGTCTACTCAGGGAGAACCGTCTACTCAGGGAGAACCTTCTACTCAGGAAGAACCTTCTACTCAGGGAGAACCTTCTACTCAGGAAGAAGCCTCGCCTCAGGAGAAACCTCAACCTAAGAAGAAGCACCGACCTAAGAAGAAGCATCGGGGAAAAAAACATTGAGCATTCAGTCTGTCAAGAATCAATTGATTCTGAGACCTTTGTCATTTGCGAGGAGTTAAAAGGGCGTTGAGGGTTGGCATCTTTGTTTATTTTGCGGTAGAAGGCACGATACCAAGAGCAAACAACCGGAATAAATGCCTTTAAAGGCTTGGAACCTATCTGCATACCTCGTTTTGATGATGGAACTGTGTATGACCTTGCATGTTTGCCTAGGACTCCCACCATGAGCGGTTTCGAGCCCGACGCCCAGTAAGTGAACCTTCGTAAGAGCGTTGCTAACAATTCGGACCCCATCGAACTGAAGTAAATTTTACCGTTTGCCTCTCCAGCGCTGACAGCCGTTTTAACCTCGTTTCAACCGTTGCTAAGTTAGTACTTGGACAAGCCGCCAACGGCCGCCACAGCAGCTCAGGTACTTTTGGTCGGGTCGTTGCCGAGCACAACGGTCATCTGGACCGACCCCAAGGAAGCACAGCAATTTTAGCCCTATCAGAAGAGTTGCTAGCATTGTCAGATGGTCCTCGTGCAGTCAGTACCTAGCCTTACCTTAAAAGCCTACACGTAGATCATGCATTTGACGTGCGGCTGGGGTGCTAAGGGTGCATATACACAGCAATTTTAGCATCCCCTCAAGGGTCGCACAGCCAACTCCAAATATCCTTAGGCACAGTGGGATTATCAATACACCTTCATCTGTACGATCAGAAGAAAAGCCCGCCTGATAGCAGGTACAATCGATTATGACCAAGCATGCTCGCAAGACAACTATTTCTATACCTAGATCTGCCATAGATGTCTTTGATACTCCTTTCCCGGCTCAGACAAGAAACCAGCCCGGAAAATAATTTTCTTTTCGACGAATTTTCGTCCCCGTCCAACAAAAATGCTACCAATACTCGGGACATCATTAACCCATATACGCCTGTAGCACGACACGACAAAGTAAAGAACGCTTGGTCTCAGGAACTCCGAGCAAATGCATTTTTCGCTTCCTCAACCCCCCTCTCCCAAAACTTCCTCGACTGTTCCTTCTCATTCCTGGCGTCGGAGAACTCGGCGATGATGCCGTCGACGACGCTCTGCCACAGGGGGTTCCCGCTCCGGCCCGCCCAGGTGGCGGCCGCCTGCATGCACTTCCACGCCTGCTCGCCGAGGAGATTGTTGTATAAGAGGTCACGGGCGATGACGAGCCCGATGGTGGTTGCGAGGATGTTCCCCTTGATGTTGGAGAGGGCTTGCCCTGCATCCTCCTTGCGCTGATTCCGCTGCCGGGGTGGGTTGGTGACCACCGCCGCCAGGACACTTTGCCATGTGCCCCGAATCTCGATATTTGGGTGTGGCCTGCATAGAGGATCAAGCTCACTGATGAGCTCGACCGTTGCGCTGTCGTCTTGGTGAGACGGTCGTTGCATGATCCACAGCTGGTTCATTGCAGCCAGCAGTGCAAGATGGCGTTGTGGCGCCTTTGGTGCTGGGTTGCCTGCCTCAATGGCCAGTGAATCGTCCCTAAAGTAGCTGAGGGCGGCGTCAAAGCAGCCGGTGCCCTGATGGCAAGCGCCTTTCAGATAGATCAGATAGGCTTTTAGCATCTCCTGTTTTGTAGATATGTGCCAATGGCTCTCCGCTGTTTCGGCATGCTTCATAGCAACGTCCCACCTGCACTGACTAGCTGCAAGAAGACCAAGCAGTATATTTAGGAAGCACTGCATGTCGGTACGCCACATCTTCTGTTTGACCGCTTGGCTGAGAATGGCGGGTGGCCCGCCGATAGTTCCCGATGTGTCCCCTGTAACTTTGTGAGTTTCCATTGAACGAACTGCGAGGATGAATGAAATCAAAGCAAGACTTACAGTGGGAGAGAACCCGAAGTCCCTGGCGCCAAAGGTCGTGGGATTGGTTCTTCCCAGAAGAACTGGGTTTATGAAGATACGTCAAACCACCCAATGCAAAGCTGAAATGGTATTAGTACTCAGCCAAAATGACTGTGAGGAGAATAAAGGATGGGTTGGGGTGACATACACTAGTAGTGTGGACTCCATCTGAGACATGAACGATACAACTAAATGATCTGAGTCTCCATCGTCTGCTCCTGGACAGATAACAGCCGAAGTGTCTTTGCTTATAGTCTGCGACGCAGGGATGTGTTTTTTGACAGGTAAGCGGAAATCGGCCTTCGACCTTGGATCTTGCCAACTGTCAATCTTCTTCTGCAAGGCACGAAGACGCTCGACGGTGTCTTCGTGCTTTTGGCGATGCAGACTTGTTAGAAATCCCACAAGCAGTGAGAACAGCTCAAGTTGAGGAATCTGGACACTTGGGTCTAACTGATACTTGGCTGCCTGAGCCATACAGTTCTGTATCATTTCTGGGCTTCCCTTTGATGTTTTTAATAGCACAAGAGCCTCTGTCAAGGAGGCAAACACGCTGAATGCGGCATCGCCCCGGTGGTGGGCAAATGATTGAATGGCACGGAGATTATCTAGCGCGGTGGCATCGGCAGCATTGCCTGCCTCCATATAGAATGAGGCCTTGAGTAGGCGGAAGGCGTATGACCAATGGACATGTTGATACCTGAAATCTACATGTCAGCATCCTATCGGTCAAACATAGTCTCCTGGAATAGAGCTTACGCATCACAGTCCTTGATATGCTGGTCTAGGGCCTTCAGAGCTGCTTTCCGATTCCGCTGGAAGAGGACTTTCATCATAGAATGTTGCATACAATATTTCAGATCGAGCATTCGATGCTGTTAGATCCAGTTAGCCTCGTGTTCATCCCTTCAAATCAGGTTGGAGGATCACTATACCTTATCACACAGAGTAATACCCTTGCTTAATGTTGTCTCTGCCTCCATGAGGTTCTCAGTCTCCTCCTGTAATACGACCGCATACCGAAGACGAAGTCGTGCTTCATGTCGTGGTGATAAGCCTTGACTTTGAAGAGCTGTCTCTAGACATGCCAATCCAGTGCCAACGAGCTTCTGATACTCTTCAACATCAGCCGAGTTGAGAGAGGAAGCAATTATTGGAGCCATAGAGCGAGCTTTGGCGATCAACTCTTCTGCTACACATATGATAGCAGGGGTCATTGTATGGGGTGCAGCCTTGGATGAAATTGCCGGCGATTTGCTTGATAATCTGCTAGCCGTCATTGCTGGAGACTGGGATGCGGATTTGCGAATGCCTTGAGGGGTCATGGACTGGGGTGGTGCTTTTCCCTGTGATGGTCTCGGAAGCTCGCCAGAGGACTTTCTTGGGACTGATATTGGTTGCGACACGGGGCTGCTTGCGAAATTAGAGCTCACTTGGGTGTTGATGGCGCTCGTAGATGGGGTCAAGGGCGTTTTCTGTATGTCCTGCAAGTTTACAAACTGCACCTGAGGCTGGGCTGGCGTTTGGAACTGATGTTCAGAGACCGGAGTTTGCGGCTCAGGAGTCGCTTGCGGATGGGGTCGAGACGATGGTTGCGAGATAGGTTGTGGAGGCTGCTGAGCTATTGGTTGCGCGGTTGGCTGCGGTGCAGCAGGACGCTGCTGGGTTTGTGGCCGCGGTCGGTGCTGTGGTTGCAACGGTGATGACGCTGAAGCGCGCCGCGGAGCCGGAACTTGTTGCGGTTGGATTTGCGCTTGTCGCGGATCCTGGTAGTGTTGTTGAGGATGCTGGCGATATTGTCCAGGTGTCGGTACAAGTCCCGGCTGGAGTTGGCGCTGTTGGGCCATCATCGATGAAGCTTGCGGCGAAATCGGCGACTGTGGAGGTCCATGGTGCTGGATGGACGCATGGCGGGCAATCTGGGGCTGCGCTTGTGATTGTGATTGGTGTTCTTGCAAACTTTGATGCCGCTTCCCGCCCATCTGATGTATCTGGCCTTGGGGTCGTACCTGCGAAGCTGACGGCATCGACACGGTGCGAGATTGGGGCCCCGGTATAGGTTGAACGCCGGCGGTGTATGAGGCCTGCGGAAGACTCTGGTGTCTCATCTGTTCCGGTTGCTGAAGTTGCTTTTGCTGCCACATGGCATTCGCGTTAGGGGATGCCATGTACTGGCCGTCAACTTGCATCTGCATGCTGCCACCGAGGCCTCCGTCCGCCACGCTTCCATTTCCATACGAGGAGACATTATTGTATGCCCACGGGTTCTCCGCGCCCGGAATCTGAGGCTGCTGGAAGCCGTTGTTGAAGTCGAAGGGGAGCTGCTGGTTCTGGAACACTTGCGGCTGCGCGTACGGGTTCTGCTGTCGCTGGTGAGGCTGAGGCTGCGGCTGTTGTTGAGGTATCGATTGGAGCTGCTGAGGTTGGTGGTACATGAGCTGCTGGGCCTGGAACTGGGAGTGGCCTTGGTAAGAAGGCTGCGGTGCATACTGCTGCGCCGGGGAATAGTTCGCTGGGTGGTGCTGCTGCTGTTGCTGCTGCTGGAGGTGGTGTTGCTGAGGTGGAGGCTGGCCAGGATACGGCGACTGCCCGGACGGCAGTGAGCCTGCGTACGTCATCTCACAGGCTTCATGAGACGCGGTTGTCTAGTTTCCGCTGCGCCTGGGTCAAGAGCACATCGTGGTCGCCGGTTCCAGGAAGTGCGGCAACGAGCGTGAGGCGCAAAGGGTTCGTGTCTTGGCGTGTCGAGTCGCGGGACAGTCTTGACGAGGTTGAGTGCACGAGGATCCAGTTCCCAAAAGGGACAAGCCTCCTATCCACAGCTGCTGTAAGACCACTGTACCGGGCACTATTCATTCTATCCCAGTCCCTTATTACCTATCTTATCGGTTGGCGCATGGACTGGCCAAGAGAGCATTGAAGCACATATCAACCGCATAACAGTCCAATGCTGCTTGCTGGCAGAAGCGGAGCCGTGCCTCACAACGTCTCATTCTCTCCTTTTACGAGCATCAAGCACCATCACCTGCATCGTGTGGTTTGATTGAGGAACCGTCATTAAAATATCGCAGTGATGTTGACATGAAAAAATGTCACCAAATTCCAGCACATGCGTCTATGAACGTCAGATATATACACCCCTTGACAATCCAGATGAAGAGACACGACTCAGAATAAAGAAAAAAAGAAAGAAAATAAATGAAATCACAATGCTCCAGTGAGATGTCTTTTCCATTGACCACCCTTACACCAAATGCGATCAGCCACGTCATCGGCTGAAAAAGTAAGTCCAATATTGAAATCCAAACGCCGGAAGTATGCTGAACGTCCGCAGCCCATCCTGATATATGAACAATGCCGCAACTCCAGGGGAACCCCGTGCCCTTCTTTCTTCTTCCCACCTCCCCATGTGTCGTCCCCTCGCGCATTCCGAAACTATTATAAGCGATGATATTGCTCATCGAGATCCAAGTTGAATGAGTTCGACTAACCCACGCATACCCACTCTGCAAACACACACCATCTTGCCGTGCGATCGGCAAGCACCAGGCCTCTCCAAGTACCCTTCTCCGAGCATTTGATGATGGTCTCCCATGTTCCGCCATCGCTAACATCATCATCGTTGCCAAGAACCCTGCTGCCAACACTTATTCCCTTTCGATCCTCCTT